AGAAGCTCTTTATTTTATATCAGAAATACACTCGGATGAGCTTGACATTTCCTGCTGAGGCGCTGCTCGCAAATTATAAAATTTGTTTTAATTTTTTTTTTAATTAAATTTCTATAATTTTTAGATGTTGTTTAGAAGAGGACTCGAACATTGACTTTCCGAACGGTAATATTTATATTCAGGTCAAGTAAAAAGTTCGTTCCGAACTTGCGAGTTTTTTGCCAGTAGAGAAGCAGCTTTCTACGAGAGTGGTATAATGAAGTTGGCATCTCGTTGTCAATAAGAACAAAACGGCGCATATTTGACTTAAATCGGACAAATGTCTAAAAAGTTATGATATTTTGAAAAAGCAATAAAAAAAAACCGCATGAACTTTTTACTTGACCCATATATTATACATATATAAATTTTGATGGGTCTATGTACCACGTCTTGCTGTTAGTCAGCAAAAGTTCTTTCACATTCGTGTAAGCTATAAAAACGAGAATGAAAAGGAAGCGAAATAAAACTGGGGACATCAAAATTGAAGTGTGAAAAGGAAAAGGATTTGGTGAGAGAAGAAAAATAAGTTACAAGAGAGAAAAAAATATATACGAGAAGAACTCAATTTATTGAATTAAAGAATAAGTTAAGCAAAAGTTTGAGAAAACTTAAGTGAAATTAAATAAAAAGAATAAAAATTTAATTTAATAATAATATTAATAATAGTAAAAATTTATGCCAATAATAATAAAAATACTAAATAAATACAATAAATTTTAAAATTAATTTTCGTAAAAAATTTATTAATCTATACATAAATATAAATTTCTTTGATTGTAAATACCACTGAAATTAATTATTTTGCGAAGAAGTCACTGTCTTCTGGGAATTCAATAATTTTTAAAATGCCTTTGGTGGGATTTCGCTTTCATGGCGCCCGAGCTACTTGGGTAAGTTATCAATTTTAACAACTGAAATATTAGAATTAACTTTTTCCGCTTTAAAAGAAGAATAACGACGAGTGTCATAATGGCAGCAGCTACTCCAAGGCGGCCATTGGCAGGGTAAGCATCGACGTGGACAACAGAAATCGGAATTTCTCGTTCCGCAAGCAATCATGAATTGATTTCTTTGAGGAGGAGGAAAAAATCGTGTAAAAAGATCACGAAAAGGTTTAAGTCATTGTGGAAGTGTGGAGGCCGCACTAATATTTTTTTTTATTAAAAATAAAAATATACTGTAAAGAGTTTAATATTTAAGGCAAGGCGGCCGCAATAACCGCAAGAATAACAATGTCTATTGCCGTTCCGTAGGCCAGGTTCCGAGTTTTGCTTCTATCAACAGCCAAAAATTTTAGAAAATAAATTTAATTAATTTTTCTAATTGTCGTCGCTCCTCGGCATGGAAATGTCAAACCCTCTGAGTGTATTTCTAGCGAGAAAAGTAAGCTCCTTATAAAAATCCATAAACCGTTCGGAGGCGGTTAGGCGAGGTTACGTTGTAGTGGCTATCGGTATGTGCGCATCAATACATTAAGAGCAGTGTCGGCATATTGTGATGTTTCTAAAGACAGCATCTCACGAAGGGAACACCCACCCACGCCGCATATCGTCTTATCAACTAGTGACCTGTTAAGCCTCCCACAACCTTAGAGATGTGGTGCTCTTTGTTGAGAAAGTATTTTTCGCGTTATCTTTTTCATTCCCATTTCGGCCAAGTTTGTTTGGAAGTTCTGCAAGTAGCGGTGTTGTTCCATCTTAGATTGGTCTGCTTATACGTAAAGTCTTTGAGTTGCAGTGCCGATGCGGTCTTTGTTGAGAAGCGTCTGTTTGGTCGTGCCCAGCATGGCAAGTTCGTTTGCCTTACAATATCTTTATATGTTTATATGTTTAATATGTTTTAGAGTTAAACTGTTTTGTTTTGCCATCTCCAGTTGAGCTAGTCGAGAGTTTAGCGCAATTTTGTAAATCATTGTACTCGTTGTTATATTTTCTCTATACTGGATAAGCAAGCGAAGCGTATGGGCTTAGTAGTGTATGCGGGAAAGACGAAAGATCTCCTGTCAACAAACAAAAAGTCATCAGATTGGCGTGTCGGAACCCACGTCACACAGTATCTAGGAACCAGCATAAACACCAATAATAATGTCAGCGTGGAAATCCAGCGTAGAATCACTCTTCTCAACAGGTGCTACTTTGGACTGAGTACGCAATTGAAAAGTAATTTCCTCTCTCGACTAACAAAGACCTAACAGTACATATCGCCCATCGTTCTCGTCTTACTATGTGGTACGAAGGTGATGACAACATCTGATGATTCGAGAGAAAGGTTTTACGTAAGATTTATGCTGCTCTACGAGTTGAGAACGGAGAATATCACAGTCGTTAGAACGATGAGTTGTACGAGATATACGGCCACATTGACATAGTTCAGCGAATCAAAAGACAGCGGCTACGCCATGTGGTTTTCATAGAAAGTTTTCGATGCAGTACCTGCCAGTGCAACCAGAGAAATATGAAAATCTACACACGTTAGAAAGACCGGGTATTTCCGATTGGCGCCAAACTGCCAAAAAATGGAATGAATGGCGCGCTGTTAAATCGGCTATAATCACGAAAACGGTGTGAGAAGACGAAGATTGTTGCTGAAAATAAAAATATCATTTCTCGGGAGTTCAGTAAGTAGTTTGCTGCCTCTATATTATATTATTGTCCTCCACTTTATGGTGTGTGTCTTGATGTTTTCCCAAGAAATGGAGGGACCTACAGTTTGTACTAAGCCGCCTTCGAACGGCTGATGGTCTTTTATGAGGAACTTTTTATTTTATGTCAGAAATACAATCAGAGGGGCTCGACATTCCCTGCCGAGGGGCGACCGCAATAAAAAAAGAAAGAAAGATAGGCCAAACTCTAATGAGGAATGCATCCGAATTCAGCTCGAAACGGTATCCCAAGATCGGGACACAAGTTATGAACTTTCAATTTCAAAAAGCCCAGTACATTTTGACACAAAGTGATAATAAGACGTTTGAAGGGAAACTAAAAGATCAGGTAAAACTTATCTGGCAATGTTATGTGAATGTTGTCCAGAACTTTCTCAGAAATGAAATATCGGAATGTGTCTCATTTCTCAAAGTTCTCAAGAGCTGCGACTTTCTTACCACACATTATGGCGTATTTTGCACTTGGACTTACACACAGATCCATATAATGTCCAGTTCACACAACAACTGAAGCCAGCTGACTACTCACAACGCGATACTTTCGTCGATTGGGTGCTCGAGCAGTGGAAGGCGCATTTCTCACAAAAGAAGGTAAGGAAAAAACACAACATTTTAGCATTGTCGACGCTGAGAATCCTCAAATAATTGAGGAGATGCCATTACAGCCAAAAGGACTTACTGCATGGTGCACTCTTTGGTCCGGGCTTGTGATTGGAACTTACTTCTTTGAAAACGACAACGGCGAGACTGCCACTTTCAATTTGGAGCGCTATGACCGTATGATAACCGACTTATTTTGGCCAGCTCTTGAAAAACACGACTTGGGAAAATATGTGGTTTCAACAAGATGGTGCCACATGCCACACAAACGAGCGAGGATCGTGTAATCTGACACCGTTGGACTTTTTTTCAATGGGGTTACTCGGAAAGATAGTATTTACCCGGATAAAGCTTTAGCACTTGAGCACTTGAAAACCAGGTTTCGTCTAGTTATGGCTGAGATACCAGCCAATATGTGTCAAAAATTCCTAATTTTTAAAATGTACATATTTTCAGTCCACCCTCAGAGTATTCATTTGCACAAGAAATATGCATCACTGAAATCACTTAAATATACCCAACAACCCCCACCATTTAATTTTTCCATGGGCGAGGAGTCGTTTTGCTGCACTTATACCAAATAATCGTAAAAAAAAAATATTTAAAATGCATTTGATTTATATTTATTGGCGAAACTTCAAAATGGAGGCGCGTCTGAGGGAAATCGAAAAATCCAACAGACCGGTGACCGAAAACCAGTAACAGTCCGGACTGCCCTGAACCCGAAACCGATCGCGAAAGGTCGCCGTTACACTTGCCTCTTACACTAAACAACAACACTAAACAACGACAGATTTGTTCATCAGCTGCTATAAAATGTTTAATTTGTTTGGACTACCCTAATAGGCGACGCAAATTGTATCTTGATTGTATCAGGCATTCAATAATATAAATAAAATAAGTAAATAACAGTCAAATGTAAAAACAAAAATCTTTTTTTTTCTACCAAGAAGGAAATTATTTTCCAATAAAACAAAAAAAATTTAAATAAAAAGTTTTTTTTAATTACAAATATTTTTTATAAAACTATTTTTCTCTATAAAGTCCAAGACTTTGAATAATGGAAGGTAAGTAGAGTTAAAGGAAAGAAAAAGAAAGAAAATATTTAATAAAATAAAGTGAAGAGAAGAAAAAAATCAGCGTCCTGCCTTCAAGGACCTGCAAGAGAAGAAAATTAATAAAATAAATAGCGCGAGCTGCGGAGCGTAATGTTCGCTTTGTAGCAAAGTCAAAGCGATTAAGCGTATATTGATTCACACTTACATATTTATTTACATATCTACATACATATCTATGGATACAAAAATTGTAATAACGTAGAAATCGCAATAAATCGACTAAACTGCCTGCCAATGACTATCGACGACGGGAAATGGCTGTGCGTGCGTGCGAAAAATCTGTTGCGTGAGCATATGCACGCGGGTGGCTAATTGAACACGGCAAAAACACACGCCCACACACAAGTTCAATATAAAAATGGAATATATGCAATAGTTTTGTTGGCCAGGATAAATTCAGAATTCACCCAACCGATTGGGTGCGCGCACCAACCCACACACCACTAGCGATGACCTACTTTTGTCCTATCCGATTTGGCCGCGAATTTCCGTTGAATTTGAATTTGTTGAGGTACATCCATACATACAGACATCACACACATAGCGCGAAAAAGCTTCTGCTGTAATAAGTTTGCAACAGTTTGCAATTTACGCGTATTTCTGCTTCGCTCACTTCAGTTCGACTTTGGTTGTGGTGACGGCATGTTTTTGAAGAAATTAACACAAACCGAACGTGAGACGTTGAGAGCTCAGCGTCGTGAGACGCAACTGATAACGGCGCGTGCGAGGGCGGATAAAAGTAATGTGTTGAGAAATTAAATTAATAATTTATTTGTGGTAAAAAAAAATTTAAATATAAAAAATAGTGAAAATCCTTCGATCTCCGTATATACATAATTTTTCCTCTAAAACAATAAGAAGATGAACGGAGACGTACTTTCGAATTTGAAAACCTGTTCTTTTTGTTGCAGCAGTTGAGACAGGCTCGTTAGTCTTAAGTCACCGATATCAGGACGGCCCAGGAAACAAGCGGATCGACGGGTTCGCACCTAATTAGCGCCAGTATTATGAGTGTCAATCGAGACAGCTCAAGCTCTTCGTCTGCTATGGGTGGTGATTTAACTCTGAGAACGCCATTTATTGGGTGGGAGTCTTTGATGGTCCAAACTGACTCCTGGTTAAACGCGCTTAGTGCTTATCGGTACACCGTCCTGTGTAGCGGTTGCTGCACGTGTTATTGGATTGTGTACTTTAAATCTAGTACTGCGTCTCGCTTGTGACCGGTGCTTAGAATGGTGCGGCGTAATTAACGATCGACCGACAGCCTAATTACTTTGTAGGTTGCCAGAAAGGTTTTTTTGTACCTCACGTGCTGCTGGCTAGCGTTTTGAGGATCTAACACCGTTTAGTTCAGTTTGAAAACCTTCTTCTCTTCGGTGTGATCACAATGACCATGCCGTTAAGCCAAAAAAAAAGTGTAGGTTACGTTGAAGTGGCTGCTGGGCATCAGCTCACCTAGGCCACAAAAACGGGAGACATTTGTGTTTGCTGTAATTATCTAACGTTTCTGATTCATTGTGATAAATTCCCGGACTCTTTGTATTGTCCGACCATCCAAGAATATATAAATAAAATTCACTTCAGTACCATTAGTTCTATTCAATTGGCAGCTTCAAGTTTAGCCGCTTGGTTAGACTGAGAAACACTACCCTGATTAAGTAGCTGCAAGGACTTATCGATCCGAAGTTTCTTTAAGTAAATTCCTTCAACGACTATGTTGTCTAAATTAGATCCATCCGTATAGAAGTGGAACGACTATTCATCTGCTGGAAAACTTTGTCTCAAAGGTTCATATCGGCATAAAGACTTTATAGTGATCCGGTAGACGGTAGCTTCTTAGTATGGTGGTATGACTGTAATTTGTCACCTTCCATTCAGAAACCTCGTGTAGTTTTACCGCAGCACAAGCTGCACAATGCGTTCCCATAAAATCGAGGATATACGGGTGACGTGTTAGATTTTCTTTCGAATGTTGGGATTACGCCATAGAGTATATATTATACATACACCATAGCAGATCATCACTAGGTCCTTAATATTTATTTTTTCAAGTCTCGTGACATCATATAACTGCAATCATTTCATATCAAGTTACCTGACATCACGTCACATAACACAAACATTACACAGCAACACAACACATTCTAATCACAACAAATGATATAACGCCTATTTAGCGACTGTCCGCTGTTAGGCTGTTAACTTCGCCTTTCAACCAAACAGTTGACTAGTTCATATTATCATCGCGTGACATCACGTCATTAGGCATCGTGTGAAATCATAACATTTTTCTATCATATGTACAAAGTTTCCAGGCATCATATTATGTCGATACGCATCATATCAAGTTGCCTCCGCTCCTATCATATAATATATTACAAATATTTCGATATCACCGTAATTTAAACACGTCATGCCTTCTTCCAATTATATCATACAGCATACATGGCATTACATCGATTCATAAAATAACCATTAAATCACATCATGTGCTATAACAACCTTCTAAATATAACCGTTAAATTACATCATGTGATATAACATCACCTTCAAAATAAAACCTTTAAATTACATCATGTGATAGAATATCACCTTCTAAATAAAACCATTAAATCACTTCTTGTGATATCACTTCTTGTGATAACACTTGATATAAACCACTCACATGATATGACTTCACTTGATCATGTTCAAACTATTTCATATAACATACATGACGTAACATCTTATCATATCATAACATCACATGACTTTCGATCAAATCGTGTCAAATAAAAAGGGTCATAAAATATTATATTTTAATTTTAAAATATCAAATATATATATATATTACATCGCATCTTATTGTATTATATTTCCATCACATCACGTTTTAATATAACATCATAATCCATTTGAAACACATTTCATGTGACTAAAATATATTTCCAATGACATCATATCAAGTCATATGACATCATTTCGTATCATTATGATATCAAATCACATTAAGTCACATCATTTATTATTGCTTTACCAAGGGAAATATGGAAACTAAGTTTTTTAAATGAACATTTTTATTGATATTTGATCAAATGATTAGAAGTTTAGAGTCACAGTTTTCTTTATAAAGCTGTCATATGATATACATTTTATTTTCACGTCTACTCTTTTCCTTCCAGGTTTCGTTTATGTGGTTAATCCGCCAGAAATTCCACGTGTTTGCTTCGGCTCTGGCATGGAGCGTATAACACTACCCATGTCTGGTCCAGGTCTTACATCCTTTATGCGTAAAATACAAGGTGAGGTGCGTGATTTTCCAGGCCCTTATGAATATACTTATAGGAAGGAGTTGGGTAAGAAAGTAAGGAGCACATAAAAAGTACTTATTGTAAGGAATGAAAAATTACTATTCTATTTTTGGTCTCTCAACCCTTTTAAGTATCCCTCTGCATATGGTTATTCATCGTTTGCCAGTAAATTGCCACGTCTACCGCCCACAGAGATATCAAGATTTCCACCGATTGGCGCATATAATGTTGAGACCAAAAAGAAGATCAAACAAGCAGCGCGTCCTTTCAATATCGGCACGAAACTCGATCAGACTAAGGTACTGGAGATGCCAGGGTGAATTAACTATTTGATGTTTGCAGAATTTTTAATTCAATCCCTTATCCTTTATGCAGTCCTGCCGATTATGCGGTTGACAAGAAACCAGCCAGCTTGAATATCTGCTCTGCCTTCGGCTCGAAGCGTATCATCTGGCCGGCTGTAGCTGTTATTTGTACACCCGAGAATGCTGCGAAGTGTTCCAAATGCAATAAGACCCCGATTGGTGATTATTTCCATCAGTTCCAGTTGAATTTGGATATGTGCCGTCGTTGCATGAACAAGCAATTGCGTTGGCTGAAACGCTGCTCCACCGATTTGTTCTATCGCGCACGCATGTACACAGAGTTGAGTTTGTATAAGCCGGTGCGTTATTGTGGCTTCTTTCATGATCATCAGGGCACCACAGCGGCGATACAACACTTGCCTACGCCGACATTGAAGTATAAAATTAAAACGGAAAATTATCTTTATATGTTTAAGAAGCGTTTGGGTGATTAGTTGGCGGAGTGCGCTGGATTGGATTTAGATTATTTGAAACTTATTAGTCTTTTATAAAGAATTTGGAAAGCTCTATGTGGCAATAAAGGCAAATTTGTGTTTGATAAATGCAATTAAGTATTATATTTTGTTTGTAGTTGCTATTAGTTGTTAGAAGGCTGAAATGTATAAAAGCTCTGAAAGCATGAAAGCTTTTGTACATTTTGTACATCTAAATTTTTTTTAACCAACTAAAAAATTAAAGATTCTCATAAAAACTTTTGAATCAATTACTTAAACAAGCGAAAGCTCTGCCGAAAATATGAAAGCTTTTAGTTCAAGTTTCATTCCATAAAAAGGCATGAAAGCTACGATTTTTTTTACTATGACTATAAGGAATAGTTTGTTAATAATTAACTGTGATTGGAAAAATTCTTGAAATGAATCGCCTTAAAATGCAAACGAACTCTAATAAAAATCTCTGAAAATTTTTCGTTTTGTGCGGTGGAAATCAAAAATATGAGGGAATATTTCTCTATAAAGAGCTTACTTTGAATTATTTAAAAAATAAGTTCATATCGCACAACTGAAAGAAAGTTCTGCTTCTAAAGCCTGAAAAATATGAAAGCTCTAAATTTTAGTTATAGATGAATTCAGGCAAAAAATTTATCTATATAAACTATGTTAATGTGCAATAAGTGTGAAAGCTTGATGTTAACACTATCGTTTTAATTTTCAGTTAAGGTTGAATTTAATAAAAAAAAAATGTATGAAATCTCCAAGAAAACCCATGAAAATATAAGCGAAATGTCATAAATTCTCCATAAGTTACTTAAGCGTCAATTGAGTGTTGCGCGGTTGAAAGCACTTCGCTTTGAAAGCTCGAAAAATATCAAAGCTCTTTTTTTTTTTTTGAAAAGAATAAGTTTTGAAAAAATTGCGTGAAAGCCATGAGAAAAGAAAAGCTATTGCACTACTGAAAGCATGAATCATATAACAGTTCTTGCTTTAAATTTAATTTAAAGTTTAACTTTGTAAAACAATGCATGAAGCTTCAGTCAAATGAAATATGCTATGCTGAAAAAAACTTTTTTTATTGAAAAACCAAGATATGAGCGAGTTCACCTTAAAAAATTTGTTAAAATTTGTTAAAATTTGTAAAATACTCAAAGCTCATTCTTTATAAAAGCTCGAAGCATACGAAAGCTCTTTTTGGTATGAATTTCCACTGATAAAAACTTGTACTTTTAAGGTCTACTCATTTGTTTGAAATTTTGATGGTTTATTTATGCATCATGTATGGGGAAAAAGGGCCTTGCAAACGGTTACTGTGCAAGCTCTTTTCGCGAGCACTTTATCGATGAAAGCTCACAACATAGTTGCAACGTAACTTCATTGCTGAGAAAAATCTTAGTTTAGGCTAAAGTTACCTTAATGTTTATGATTCTCTAATAGACGAAATCATTAGTGGGAAATCTAAGGACCGTCAACCTTAGCCTCACGCACACCTGTTCCAAATCAATCGAAAGTATTGATTCCGCTTCTTAGTCCCCTTTCACAAGCGTGCTTTCAGATGCGTCAGATTTGATTGAATTCAAGTTTTTCTTTCCTTGCACTTGGATTTAGTAGGTGCAAACGACCACTCGATATTCATTGAGCGGACGTAAGGCCCACTTTTCCATCATTAGTAGACACGTAGACAGCAAGAAGCCGAAGGAGCTTCACTAACTCAACAACCTCTCTTACTTACGTCTCTTATGGCAGCCAAGCTCTGAAGTAATAAGCATAAACTGTTGATCCCTCTGATGCAATGGAGTTTAATCCTACTTCGGGACATGCAGTTACAGTCTCAAGGTTATACTAAATCATGGTCTTGTGTTCTCGATGCACGCGCTAGAAACGCGAGTAACTCTTGCGCGAGACCAAACCGTGTGAAGCTTTGGGTCAGGACGAAAGCTCACTTTAAGAGAGAATTCGACTTAAGGAATCACTGAGCTCATATTGCAACGCCTAGTTACCAAAGGTGTGACTGCGAGTGGGCGTGGAACATGAAGCAGTCTGCTCGCTATGTAAATGTGTACCTCCTCGTGAGACAAAGCTGTAAGTGGGTCTTGGAATGCACTAGTGAAAATCGACTCCAATGAAAATAAGAACTAAACCTCGGTTAAGAACTTCGTAATTTGATAACGACTGCGGTAAACGATGCAGAGTACTTTAGTCTGCAAAGATTGAAGACTTTTAATAAAAGTCTCCCACGTCGATATGTAACTCTCGGAGCACTCTGAACAAAACAATATTTTTCAGTTGAGTTTTCAAACGTGATAGCATCCTTTCAGAATTACACCAACAAAAAATTCTAAAAAATAAAAGCAATTTCTTTGAAAATGTCTTTCTATTTCTTTGGAGCTTAAGAAAATTCGGCGCGATTTCCTTCCACAATTTAAGGCCTTACGAGTTTCTTACATTTTTGAGACATCTTTTTTTCGTTTAACGACAAATTTGCGTGCTAATCCTCTGTAAGTCTCAATGTTTGCGGCGGAATTAGAACAAGAATTGGAGGGTAATATGCAATCTAACCTGAAAATAAGCGACTAACCAAATAATTTATTAGACTTTCCTTATGTCATTGGCGAGTACGAAAGACCACGCATTGGTTTCGGCTCCAGTGCGGAGCGTTTCGCACGGAAGTCAACTGTGGCAAAGGGACGAAAAGTTCGTGGGAAATTTAGACTTGAACAACAACAGAACAAAAGCACTGCACCTACTCTACTGCATAAGGTAAGGCATAACGTTACAAAATAAGTTAAAAAAAGCTTCTTTGAAACCTCTCCCCTCACTTAGTATCCCTCCAAATGTGGATACAGCGCGCTGGCTAATCGTAGTCCACGCTTTAATCCATCAGCCTATTCGAAAAATCCCGCACCAAATGCTTACGATTACTTGCACAAGGAAGCTGAATTGAAAATCTGTTATCCATTTAATGCCAGTGAACCGAGACCAATGCCGAAATGGGCCAAACGCACCGGACCATCGTAAGTGAGGCTTTGTCATATAAATGATACACAAGTACATATATAAACCTTCATTCTTTGTCTTTCTTCATCAGACCCTGCGACTACTATCACTACAGACGTCGTGAACAACCCGTTGAGATGGCTTTCGGCCATCGGCGTTATATAATACCCGCCTACGCTGTCTTTTGTGGCCCTGAAAATAAATCGAAATGTTATAAATGTCAAAGTCGTCCGCTCGGTGATTATTATCATAATTTCAATACCAAAACGGATCTCTGCCGGCCGTGCATGAATGCCGAGTTGCGTTGGCTTAATAACTGTAAGGTGGGCCGCCGGTTGCGTGCACGTCGTCTCATGGAGTTGGGCTGCTTTAAGCCGTCGCGTTGGTGTGATTTCTTTCACCGACATCATGTCGGCACTTGGTTTGTGGAAAAATATCCACGACTCGTGCTGAGGAAGAAGAATAATATTGAAAATTATTTAGAATCTTTTGATAAGCTGACGAAGTGGTATGTAAATTATTGAGGGGGATAGATTACGTGGCAAGGTATAAAGTTCGAAAATTCGAAAAAGGAGTGAAAAATTAAAAAAAACATTACAAACAAAATTTTATGTAAAAAATTAAAAAAAAACTGAAAACAAGATTTTATATTAATATTTTATAAAAAAAAAACTAAAAAAAAATTAAAAACAAAATTTATATAAAAAAAATTAATTGAAATTATAACAAAAATTAAAAACAAAATTTAAAGACCAAAAATTAAAATAAATTTAAAAAAAGCTTAAATTCAAAATATAAAAAATAAAATTAAAAGTGTTTTCTCAAGCTATTTTGTAAAACAAACTGCAACGAGAATGGAAAATAGCCTGGGAGAAGGTTTAACGGTAAACTCTTGCTAACATATCTTTCTCTACTTCTGCTTCTATATCGTGTTTTTCCATTTTTCTATCTCTGTCCTTTATCTTTATCTCTAGTTATAGCTCACTTCTTAACCCTAACTCTACCGCCATCTATGACTCTACCTCTACATCTACCTCTATCTCTACCTCTAGCTCTACCTCTACCTCTACCTCTACCTCTACCTCTACCTCTACCTCTACCTCTACCTCTACCTCTACCTCTACATCTACCTCTATCTCTACCTCTAGCTCTATCTCTATCTCTATCTCTATCTCTATCTCTATCTCTATCTCTATCTCTATCTCTATCTCTATCTCTATCTCTATCTCTATCTCTACCTCTAGCTCTACCTTCAACTCAACCTCTATATCTACCTTTATCCCCACCTTCAGCTCAGCTTCTATCTCTGTCTAAATAACAATTTAAATATCTCTACGTTTGCTTTTACCTTTGTATTGACTTCTATCTCTAACTCTATTATTATCTTTACCACTAACTCCACCTCTTTCTTCCTCTCTAGCTGTCCCTCCTTCTCTATCTGTTCCTCGACTTGGACCTCTAATCCTCCTGTACATTCTCCTCGACACATCCCTCTCTCTCACTTGCTCTATTACTTTTTTTTTATCTCTAACCCTAGCTCAGCACTAACTCTACATCTGTCTTCATCTCAATCTCCATTTCCAATTTCACCTCTTTTTCGGCTGTAATCACATTGCTTTGAAAAAACTCCTGCCTTGAACTTGAATTCCCTTCTGAGGTAGTGAAAACTGCACCACATCCTTGCTCTTTGCACTGCAGCCATCATATTTAGGAGTTAAGCCCGAACAAAATGAACAAAAAGTTCGCGAACGTAAGCTCAACGCATATATATATGTATGCTTCAGATCCTGCAAGTTGACCGCCTGAGTCTACAGATAGATCACATTCAAAAGAAAATCCATCAACAGTGGTCGTCATATTCGAAACGAACGGAAGGAAATCTTCGCTCATCGGTTACTTCGCCTTTGTAATACCAGCCGAAGCCTCTGTTCATCCATATAGCGGTGGGAACAGCGTTGAATACCACTCTCTACAGCTATATATCTATCCGAGATCAACACAAAAGCGCACTTTGCTGAGACGTTCTAAAAATGTTATGGTAGCGGGTTGCTTTGAGTGCACATTCCTCTTTCCAACTCTAGCCAAAGGCCATTTTCAAAAAATTTTATTTTGGAATAGACTATTCAAGATATTCGTCTTCAGAGGCAAATGAGAGTCCTCGATGACAGTGTGTCAGGCGTGCTATAAATGACCAAACTGGTTACGAATCCACTCGTGCCTTAACCCGCCTGTATGACTGGGCTTTGGGTTCGGGCTGTTAAATGGATGGATAAAGAAAAGCGGAGTGGAACCAAAAAACGTATTTGTCTTCAAACTTATGGAGCTATCAATATTTCTGGGCCTCAACTGCCACTAACAATTTTTTTTTTCTGAGAAAACTATGCTCCTCTTGGCAATGACTTTTCTCAATATTTTTGATTTCTTCACACTAAAATGCGCGGTGGTAAAATAAAGGAGTTTTTGCTTATGTAGATTGTAGGAGTTAGTATTCTCTGGCGAGTGGGATTTGGAACACCATCATTTGGACCGAATTATATGACGTACGTCACCCTAGGGCACCAAGCACACTTGGATAACTCTACCCACATTTAAACGCATTAAAGAGAAGACCGTCCTTCTCTTTTTACGGAAAGACTGCTTAATCAAATCCGTCTTTTTAACATTTGTTTGTGGAGGAACAGCTGTGACGGGAACATCTCTTTTTGGAGACGTTTACAACGTAAAAGCGACAAAGCGACAAAGACTGGAAATACCAGAAATAGAAGTTTTCATCCAAAACTCTGGTTGGCTTTTCATTAAAATCTCATATTAAAATATTTCTAACGGTTGGACTAAGCCCATGTCCGGGATTCTCTTAATCAAGATGCTCAGGGGTTGACTATAGCATCTTATATACGGTTTTCCAATAAGAGGTTGTTAAAACGCAAAGTGGCTGCTGTATGCCTCCAAAGGCTTCACGAGTTCTTGAAACGATGTTGACCTGCTGGCGTAGACCTTATCTTTCACATGGCCCCAAAAGAAGGATACACTCAAGGTGGTGAATCACAAGATCTCGGTGGCTAATTGTAGACACCTCTATGGGAGTTTACACGGTCCGGAAACTTATATTTTAAAATATCGTTGGTTTCGTTGCTTGTATGGCACGTCGCGTCGTCTTGTTGAAAGTAAATGTTGTCCAAATCATTAATTATCTCTCGATAGCTCAAACCATTCACCGCAACTGTTACCCCAGCCACATTTTCCAGCCTTCGAGTTAGTCCAATGACGAGACCGAACCATGAACTATACCAAACAGTTACATTTTGAGAATGGATTGGCTTTTCAACAATAACACTTGGGGTTTTCCAGCTCCAGATGCGATAGTTTTGCTTATTGAGGTGGCCATCGAGTTGGAAATGGGCCTCATCAGTCAAGATGATTTTTTAATGAAATTCCGGATCATTTCCATGCATTTCATGGGCCCAAACAGCACGAACACGACGTTGTTGTTGATCGGCCGGCTTGAGTTCTTGTGCTAACTGAACTGTATAAGACTTAAGACCAATTTTTTTGTTAGCAAAATGCGGTTTACTGACGTTTCTGGAATGCCAAATGCCGAAAATTGGCGAGGAATGAACAAACCTGGGTATTCTTCAACACTTTAGACTACTGTAAAAATATTCCCAGTTGTCTTTAGCGACGTCAAAAAAAAAACACCTCTTAGTGGTAGACCCTTTACAAGGGTTGCTATCTCCATACCACCAAGGCGATAATGAACTTATGGCTTCATCGAGCCCAGCCAGACACGGCATGTGCAAAGAGGGTGGTAAAGAGCGAGACTCGAATTCGATCCACAAGTTTCAAAAACATGGAGAGTTGAAGAATATCTTTAACACTGTAGTTCTTCATACTACTTTCATTCCCTTCAAGTCATTGAGAAAGTAAAGTAAATTTGCCTTGTCGGCTTAGCTTTTCATTACATCTGTTTCGTTTGCTCTTAGTGGCGACATTTTTTATACAATTTTTAATAATTTTTTTTTTTAAATATATTATTTTCTTTTTTATCAAAGAAAATTGTGTGTCTGAGTGTGTGCAATCTCACAGCAGAATGTATTACTTTCAAGGTGAGAAACAATTCTTCTCTTTTCAGGTTTGCTTCTTATTTTGCTGACGAATCGAATTCCAGAACAATTTCGCTATGTTGTTGAAAAACCGAAGACTCCACGCGTTGCCTTCGGCAGTGTAACAGAACGTATGAATTCCGTCTTTTGGCCACATTCAGCAGTGGGAAGTTTTGAAAGCAGGCAATCGACCGCATCTCAGGCGTCGACATATAGCAGTTTCCAGGAAAAGGTATGCTTCGATTGCAGAGAGTTTCTCCCAAACGAGAGGCAAAGAAGTGGTTGGTTCATTAGGAGCTCCACCATTTTTAGGAAGTAGAAATACTAGTTATTCAACCTGAATGTCCAAAGTGGTCCCAGAAAAATATCTACCTCGCCGAAATCATGTCTTATGTACAAATAAGTTTTACTCTCTGAAGTCTTATCAACGAAAACTGGCAAAGTTCGTGCTGGAAACCACGAAAGTTTCGCTTTTATCAGTTCTGCCTACGCTGTTGCCACTTCCTTCGAGCGAATTCCGGTCAGAGGAAAACTTCAACTTCCAACTTGTAGTATTAGGTTTAGTTAGTTAAGACTGAATGTGAAAGTTCTGGTATTAAAAAGTTCCACTTGGACTATTTTAAGACTCTTATGTGCCATGTGTTGCCGGCTGAGACTGGTAATCTGTGCGGCAAACGCGACGAAATTGTTGGTGTCAACTTTGAATTTGTGGTAGACGTCGAATTTTAATATTCAAGAACTCACTGTGGCTTTGAAAGTTGTAAGAACCAAGTCACTTGAGCCTGAGTCCGGCATAAGCAAGACAGCTCCTTCAAGAGTGGGAGCTTGAACATTCTCCGATCTCCAGTGATGTATTCCATGCCAAAAAGACCTTTTTAATTCCTTTGTGTCGCTGTTATCAACGGGTTTGTTGAGGTTATGTGGGCTTTATCAGTCTAGGAGTAGGCTACAGGTGGCCAAAACATTCCCAACAATCTCCTGCCCGTTGATATCGGTTCAATGACACGCATTTTGGCAATTTTATCAGTTTTTTCATTATATTTATCTTCATTTTCATCCTTTTGTTCATCTTTATCTCTATTTTTGTCCCTATCTGTATCGCTATCTCTACTTCTAGCTCTATTTCCACCTCCACCTCTGCCTCCAGCTCTACTACTATTTCTATTTCTACCTCTACCATACTAACTGTAACACTACCTTTACCTCAAACTCACTGCCTCTTCCACTCCCTAAGCGTCTATTTGTAAATACCTTTAACTTTAGCTCTGTCTTTAGTTTTACCTCTACCTCTAGTTCCACCTCTACCTGTACCTGTACATCTACTTCAGCCTCTGCCTCTACCTCTAGAAGTAGGACTGATGTCCTCAATCGACTGAAAACGGTTTTAAACCTACAGCTGACGTCGTCGTGTTGATTGAACAAGAAGAGATTAGTCGTTGGGTGTACTATTTTCTATCACTTTCTTGATTGAAAATACTTGCGGCGGCGCTTGACAGTATCGGTAGAAAACCTCTTTCTCGAACCTTTCACTTAGCTATTTCGACCTATCCATCAAAAAGTTCAATGCTTACCGCTTCTAGGTACCACAACCAGCCAAATGAATACTCTAAGAAATGCGATTGGCGGGAAGTTTCATCTAAGACAGCAACTGCGCATTCACGGATGAACCCAGTTGCTGTATATGACTCGCGTATTCGATCTTGAGGTGACTCGATCCATTGCCTGCATTGTTGTTGCTAAGCTAGTGTGGGTTTTTCAACGTCCGAGCCTAGACAAAGACTCCGGGCTCCATGAGATTATTCTAATATTTAGATGGCTTTTTTGAATGGATTCAGTTTCAGAGGGCAAACAAAGCTACGTTAAAGCGAGGATCCGTCCTAGAACAGGCAGTAATTGTTGATACCCGAGGAGTTAGCTGAAAACGGAGCTGGGGGGGAGTTCTTGTGCACTTGACAAAATTCTATAAAACGGTTAAAAATAAAAGTTATATTTGTTTCTCCATAAGTATTCCTCAAAGCTTGGTTATTCCTCGCTCATTAGTCAAACGCCGCGTTTCGCATTATCGAGCGAGAAGAGTGCGCCCGTCGGCAGTTACTCCGTAGAGGATGGAAAGCCGATAAAGCAGTGCAAGAAACCGTTTAACATTGGAGAGTCATTGAAGAAGGAAACTAAATTTCTAACACCAGGGTAAGAAGGGAGAGTAATCCTATGCGTGTGAACTTTTCAAAATATTGTGAGACTCTTGAAAGTCCTGCTCTATCACTTATTCTCACATGTTTTCTCGCACTTTTGCTACTACTTCCTACACACTCACTCACTAATTTCCTTACTCTCAACCACTATATCCGGCACTCTTTAATTTTACTCTAACATTTTCACTCTTTTCCTTCACACCTTACAGTCCCTCCCATTATCCATATCACAAAAGAATACCCGAAAAGCCCGGTTATTGCCTGGCTTTCGGCAAGCGTCGCCTCAATTGGCCTTCAGTCGCAATTTTCTGCACTTCTCGAGACACCGCCACTTGTTGGGTTTGCCAAGAACGTCCCATTGGCGACTACTACTATAACTTCAAGACGAAATTGGCCGTCTGTAGGATGTGTATGAAGAGGAAATTAAAAGCTTTGCAAGGCTGTGAAATGAATGATTTTAAACGCAAGCGCGAAATGTTTGAATGGTGTGAGTTCAAGCCGGTTCGCCATTGTAGCTTCTATCACACACATTGCGGTCGCAATTTGTATCATACGCTAATGACGAAACAGATTTTACGCCGAAAACTGGAACTCGAAAACTATTTATATCCATATCAACCGTTTTTGGACAAACGTTATGTGTGAAAGAGAGGCTCGTCGACTCTGGTCCTGAACGAGTTGCTGGCGCACGCAAATCATTGAGGTTCAAATACTTTTGGTGTATGCTTTATATGTTTAGGTCTACAAAGTCTCGAAGAATGCCGGAAAGAAATTGAAAATCTAAAAAAAAAATAACTAAAAAACTAATGTATAAAAGCAAAAAAGAATTAAAAATTACAATAACGCAGTATATTTCTTGAAAATTTATGCTTTCCTTTATCAACATGGAATTGGGTTTTGAAAGAAGGGAGGGATAAAAGCACCTGAGCCCTAGGCAAAGTCTAACAATCTAGGAAAATCTTCCAAAGTTTTCTATCTACAGATTATCACAACCTGCTTCCAAACGGTTGATGGATTTTTATGAGAAGCTCTTATATCCTGTCAGAAAATCACTCGTAGGTGGGATCGGCATTTAATGAACTCTCATGCCAGTTTGCTTCCTAGCTGAGAGCATATGCATAGAGTTAAAGAGACAGATAGAGACGAGAAAGTGTGCTGCAGTGGCTAGCCATCTCCACTTAGGCGAAGGCGAGTTAAGTCTACGATATCGAAGTCATCAACAAAAGGAAGCTGGAAATGAGCTGTTTCGACTGGTTTGAACTAAAGGAAAAGTGAGGTTAGATGAGTAGATTTTATGGGACATGCGAAGGGGTCTGCGCCAGTAAGGTAAGTAAGTAAGTTTTAGAGTTTATCGCAATCAGACAGACGAAGAGGCGGAGCTTGATTTATAATATTTTTTGTCTTTTGAATTTCGCGGCTATGTACAAAGCGCTACAGTTGCTCGTATCTGTCAACACTATACATAATTTGAAAGGTCTTGAGATAACCTACAAAACAACGCTATGCATGATTAGTTTGGATATTGCGTTCAACAGTTATAGACGTGTAAACATGGAGTTCACAAACGCCGAAATTCGCGCTATTTTAAAGTTTTCCTTCGTTAAAGGCAAATCCGCTAGAGAAACGTTCCGGGAGATTAATGATGTTTTGGGGGATGGTACTCTATCACTTCGAACCGCGGAGGAATGGTTTCGACGATTCAGAGCCGGTGAAAATGACACCATGGATAAGCCAGCCGGCGGAAGACCTGTGACGACAAATACCGATCAAATCATGGAATACATCGAGTTAGACCGGCATATGGCATCTCGTGACATCGCCCAGGAGATGGAAGTTAGTCACCAAACCATTTTGAACCATCTGCAGAAGGCTGGATAGAAAAAAAAATTTGATGTTTGGGTGCCGCATAATTTGACGCAAAAAAACCTTCTGGACCGAATCAACGCCTGCGATATGCTGCTGAAACGGAACGAACTCAACCCATTCTTGAAGCGGATGGTGACTGGCGACGAAAAATGTCGTGGTCGAAGGCCGGTGAATCGTCCCAAACAGTGGCCAAGCCAGGATTGACGGCCAGGAAGGTTTTGCTGTGTGTTCGGTGGGATTGGAAGGGAATCATCCACTATGAGCTGCTTCCATATGGCCAATTCTACCATCTACTGCGAACAACTGGACCGCTTGAAGCAGGCGATCGACCAGAAGCGTCCAGAATTGGCCAACAGGAAGGGTGTAGTGTTCCACCAGGACAACGCCAGACCATCACTTCGTTGATGACTCGTCAGAAGCTACGGGAGCTCGGATGGAAGGTTTTATCGCATCCACCATATAGCACGGACGTAGCGCCAAGTGATTACGACCTGTTCCTGTCCATGGCGAATGCACTTAGTGGTGTGAAGTTGAACTCAAAAGAGGCTTGTGAAAAGTGGCTGTCCGAATTCTTCGCAAATAAGGAGGGGGGCTTCTACGATGAAGGTGTTATGAAGTTGCCGTCTAGATGGAAACAGATCATCGAACAAAACGGCGCATATTTTAACTAAATCCGATCACTGTAACACTTTATATAAAGCATTGAATGAAGAGCAAAAAAGCGGAAGGGAGATATTTGTTTATATTTAATTTTTAATTAAATTAATTTATTTCATTCTTATTACAGAACCTAAATTTATAAATTATTTGAAAAAACTTTCTATGTAAATTTACTACTTAATAATATAATTTATATAAAATAATTAATTTAAATAACTTTAGTAAATATTTGTTTTTCTACTAGAACCATATATATATATTTTTCTATAAGAATTCCCAAACCTTCTTCAACTTGGGCCTCGGCAAGAAGCACAGTTTTAACTCAAACTCGTTTAGCTTTCCTCGGGTTTGACATATATATATTCATGCAAAAAGATCGACTACAATATGTGTAGATTTGCAATATCCCTGAGCGTCAAACTGTACGAGCTTCGAAGTCATGACATCCCTTTCAGCAGTACGAATTCACACATTCACATTTCAACCTTTTTTCCTCATATTTTTAGCCGATTTCTCTATCTTTTCAATGTTGGTACACCTCCCTTTTCTGCTTTCGGCGAAACTGTGGTGTTAATCTCATCCGTTGAAGATTCGCTGTGAGTATAGCTATGTTTTTCTGTTGTCCCTCAGCTGCTTTCAGGGTTTCGTCTCACATTGGTGTAGCCCTTTGTCGATATATTTCACAATCTAATTCTTTTTTTTTACATATTTTGTCTATCCACCTTTCCGTATCAGAACTTACCACAAGCTGCACAAAATTTTTAACATTCTCTGTGAGGGAGGTTCAGTTTTAGCCTGTTAGCTTTGGCTAATTTGCCAGCCGATGAACCACATCGAAGAGAACGTTGCTGACTTAATAATCTGCTTCTTGTTCGTCTCTTCTTCAAAAATTGGAACGAGTAGATGAGCGCCAACGAAATGTGTGAATTGAGCCCACCAAAGCTGCCAATTAAATAGCATATTCTTGACTCCACTAAGCCTCAGTACAGCAATTATTCGCATGCAGCTTTCACAGGCAACAAAAACTGTTATCTCAAAGTTGTCAATGATCTCCTTTAAAGCAAAGCGCTGAAATAGCAAATCGACCATTATTCCATCGAAGTTGATTTTGTTTATTGATAATTTGGTCTCCCCCATAGCATGCCAATCTCGCTCTAGGTATATTTCGAGGCGCTACACAGTGTAAAACATGGCCACTCAACATATCATATTCCGGCTATTGCCTGTCATTGGAACTGCCATAATCCCAAATGCGGTCAGCGTGCTTAGTTCTCTTGTGCTGCTTTAGCTCTAATGAGCTCATCGGCCCTTTGTTTTGCTTGTTCAGTATTTTTTAATCCTGCTCCTGCTCCTGTTGTTGTTCATAGCCGCATTATAATAGCATATATATATATTGGTTGCCATGATTATTCCAATTACTTCAAATTTAGTTGAGTTTTACTCGCTTGAAGGCTTAGGATTGTGTGATAGCAACTGCTAAGAAAGCCTCGCTTTTTATACAATTTACACCCCTACATACATACATACACATGTACATAATATTTTTCCGCAACATATGAGACGTTTGAAGAAGTAGACGAAAAGTTAGTACCTCAGATCGTTGGGATTATCTTATCGATGTTCATTATACATACGTACAAAAGCAACGGTTGCTCAGTTAGGTGTGTGTATCCAACTTCGAAGCTTCTCGGTTCCGCTACTAGAGTCCCTGACAAAGATGTGACTTAAGCGCCTCAATCGTCATATTTTTCACTTACACAAAACCCCAAAATACTTTTACCCTAACAGAACGAACTGTGGAATGCCCACCGCCATGGCACACCAAGCCCACTGAGATAATTCTACCCTCCCATCGCATTAAAGAGAAAGACAACAGCTTTTTTTACGGAAAGCCCGCGCACGGCATCCCGCTTTTTGTAACATTTGTTAGTGGAGGAACCGTTGCGATGAGAAAACCTTGGAGAGTTTTACCTCTGCGTACGCATTCATCGAATACAACCATGCCATGATCTAATTAGAATGAAAATTAACAACTATTTGCCGACAGATGTCACTGCCATCGGTTGAAGTGAGAGGAAGTTGAGCAGGAAAAAAGAAAATAAACAAAAAAAATAAAATAAGTTTTTGTTGCGGCCAATACGTTGTCACGGTATATTGGTTTCAAAACAAATGCTGAACGAAAAAATCTATAAACCGATCTATTCAGTTTATTGTTCGTAGATCAAAACATCTCCGCATGAAACCTCTTCTGGCGGTGAGCCCGATACTTACTCGTAATCATAGAACTTATTATAGATTCTCTGTCCGATTCTGTTTACATTTATTTTTCAGACAATTAACACCTGAAAGTATGAAATATTGCAAAAAAGGCAAGGTCCATAGATGCTAAGATTTTCTTTATAAAAATTCTCGAAAAAATATATTTTTATTTCTAATATTTTTATTTTTTGTTTGGATTTTATTTTCTAACCAAATAAATGAGTCGAGTTTTGTTGGTTTGGAATTTTTTTTTAATCCCAAGAAAAATGCTCGCATCAGTGCTCTGTCCGGCTTCTAAAAAAGCTACCACCAGTGCCGACCCTGTTATCTCTCCTATCTTTGCTTCGTGGGAGGCTCTCTCTGTTTTCCATTTCTCTCATTCGAAAAGACTGTGCTATGGACCGGCATTTTCGTCGCGTTTTACCAACTTTTTTTTGCCATTGCGTGAGGGTTTGTTTCCTTGCTTTCGACGGGCAGGCTGTAACCAGCTCGGCTGAAATATATGATCTCGCTTTCGTTGTGCTACCTCCATGCCCATCGCTATTACGACAAAGATGGATCCTTGTGCTGCTCCGGACGTCTACGGAAACGCTTTTTGGAACCAACACTATGTGTCTTATTTATTGCAGACGTTTCAACGATTGCAAAAGCACTGAACACGCAGACGATCTGGCTATTTTATATGGAGCTAGTGCCCAACACCGAGAATAAACAACGTTAAGAGTCCCTCGAGCAGTTGAAGTTAAATAACTTTGATGTCCGCAGCCAATGAGTCGGTCTTAAGAGTCTTCGAGAGAAAAGTGAAACTCTTCTTTTCTTCTTGGAGGATCTGTTTGCTAGGTTGCCCAAAAAGTAATTGCGGATTTTTCATATAGTCGGCGTTGACAAATTTTTTCAAACGGCTTGTGACTCTGTCAGTTATCAGCTGTTACTTTTAGCTTGCTTTAGAAAAAAGTGCGCGAAATTTTGTTTACATTTGTTTGTTTGGCGTCAATTTTAATATGGAGCCCACAAAGGAGCATTTTCGTCATATTTTACTTTATTATTCCCGTAAAG